TTAATTGATATTTTACAATTGAATGTATTATATGGGATATAATCTTTCTAATGGCCGGTCCATTTTTTCTCATTTTATTTCACATTAATTTTAATGCACGATCCATTCATACGTTAAATTTATTAAACGTGTATATTTCATCCATCTGTGTGTTAACATCAGAGTGCATTGATAAAAGGGGACAAAATATTCGCGGTATTATCATCACCAGAAGAATTGCAATTCAATAAATTATTCTAATTTTTAAGAAAACATCCTAAAACGTTCTATTAACTTGTTGCTACGAATCTGCGTCAATAGAAAGATGATAGCTTACTAATACGAAACCACAATATGAATTTGCCGTATCATCTTGATAGGATAGCCTGTGGCTGATATAATCTGTTGGAAATTGGTTTCTGGTGTCCTCCAGAATCCGGTTCGAGCACATCTCTGAAATGTTAATACGGTTAAGGGAGTTTCTACGTCGATGTCTTCGACCATACATGCTTACTTCCTACTTACATGTATACACAGAAAATGTTCAGTGAAACATATATATACGAACAAATAGAAAGCTCATCCACTCATTGAAATCTAAATCACACGCGATGGAATATATAATTAAAATATACTTTCTTTTTTATAAAATAATCTAAGGATATTGTGAATTTACAAATTCTTAATTCTTCGTAAATGATTATTCTCTATAAAAAATACACAATGTGGAAATAATTGAAAATTTCAATATTTCTCGCTGAATTTTGAACAAGATATATTTTTTTTATAATTGTAATTCTTTGAATTTATATATGGAAAAAAGCTTAGAAAAAAATTTTGAATCGATTTCAGAAACTTGTTCAGCATCAAACTCTATCAAACCAGAGAAAATTGGTATTAATTTCAAAACGATAAGGAACTTAATAGGAGGTTCAATATTAGCATACCAAATGTAACTAGACAAATTTTAATATTGACGTAATATAGAAATCTTTCAAGTTTGTTTATCTTCTTTAATTCTTTCCCAATGCACGATTTAGAAATAAAAGGAATATTCTTGGAATATTCTCTTCTCTTTTTCTACCAAACAACAATAACTAAAAGAAAGATGAAACCCTTCGACAAAATCAATGGAAACCAAAGCTAAACGGACAAAGAATAAACCGACAATAAACAAGCAACAATAAGTCTTTGCGCAACTCGAATATCGAGGAAGAAGAGAGAATAAATCGTTTCAATAATTTCTATTCGAGGTTTCCTTGCCTCTTTGTGCCAATTTACGGTCAACCATTCTTTACCTCAGAGGCAGAGGTTGAACGTTCCTCGAAAGGAGATACCGGCCCGATTGAGAAATACACAATTAAATCTCGAGTATATTTCTTCGTTATTTACCTCGTGGCGATATCTTCAAAGGGGCAATTAAAATGGATGAGACATCTTCGAGTTGCGGCTCGAAGAAATTCTTCCCAGAGGAGAAGAAAATATCGATGGACCGTAAAGTCGAAAAAAAAGAAAAAAATCAACAAAAATAAACAACTGAAATGTCGCATTGAATCTTTTCATAATCTGATAAAATTCCAATCGAATTCGCTCTGCCCGTTATCACGTGATTGTCTACTCGAAACCAGAATTGGTGTAAACGTATGCAACTCGTTACAAAACCTATCCCAGTTTTAACATGCATTATCTCTTTATACGATGTTACAGTATATATATTGGATTGGAAAATTTCTGGTCTTAGTTGGATAGCGTTGAGATCTCACTGAAGTTTTGATATCGAGGTTTTTAAAGGTCGGTTTAAATTGCATTAGTTATACATGTATACATGCGTTTTGATGTTGGATGAAACGAATTGCATACGAATTTATATGCATAAAACAACAGAATATTCGAATTTGAAATTATTCTATTTCAAGGCAAAGTATTCGAATATTTAATCGATTAAAATTCAATCAAATCAACATTCGAATTTTTCAAATGTACAAGTTCAAATCAAAATTCAAAATTTTAATTCGAATTTTCCAATAAAGACTTTCTATTTCAATTTCTCAAATTCCTTACTCGAAATTCATATTCTTTCGTTTGAATTCAAATTTTTCGATTCAAATTTAAATTTTCCCATTCGAATTCAAATTTTCCAATAGAGATTGAAATTCAAATTCAAATTTTCCGATCGAATTTAAATTTTTCTTTTTCGAATTCAATAATTTTCAATAATTTTTACATTCTTTTCCAAACTTAAACTACGCTCTAATCATTCACCAAGTCAAATAATAAACCTCTAACAATTTTAGAATTTTTT